ATTTAGCACAGACGAGACCCTGGGTTCAGTCCCAGAGCTGAGGTAAACAAGCATGATGGCCTTTGCCTTTCCCCTCGGGATGTTGGTGGGTGGGTGGGTGGGTGGGTTGATTTTTTTGTGACCGTGCCTCACTGGAACTCGAAGCCCTCCTGCCTCTGCAGGCATTACAGGTATTTGTTTCTATATTCCACTAATCTCGGAGTTTAAAACCAGCCCTGGGTTACAGACTGATACTGTCTCAATAAATTTTTATGTGGTCAGTGGAAACAAGTCCCATAGAATTTTTCAGGATTTTGTTTCCATTTTTAGACAGGCAATTTATGTGTCTGCTTTGGGACAGTTAGAAAATAAATAAGTTGCTTTAGCAGCCTGAGATAGTCAGGGTGAAAGAAAAGAAATCATAGTCCAAATTGCTTCCTGAGTGTGACATTTGGGGTTGTACTGGGAACTCTGCATCCTACAGTCATGAAATACTTCTGGGTTCTCAGTGCACGTGTGCACGCTGTGCTTACGGTGTCAGGAGAGGGACTGAGGTGCCGATGGTCGTAAGTGTGGTTGCTGGGAACAATGCAAATGCTCTTAGTTGCTGAGCCATCAACAACTAAGATCGCTCTAGCCCATCATCTGTGTTCTTTTTTGTTTGTCTATTTTTTGTTTTTTTTTGTTTATTTTTTAGAGAGAGTCTTTGTAGCCCTGGCTATTCTAGAATTCATTATGTTGATCAGGTGGCCTCAAACTCATTCTGCCTCTCCCCCTTACAGAGTGCTGGTATTAAAAGCAATCCTCACCATGCACAACTCATCTAAGTCAAAAATGGGTTATTACTCTCTGGACGGAGGGAGCCAGCAAGTCTTTGTGTAGAGAGGGGTTAGGAAAAAGAAGAAAGTCTATGTGGTGGGATTTTAGAATTGAGTGCTTTATTACCTAACAGATTTTTTTTTCTCCTTAATGCAGATGGCTAGTCCTGATTTTGGGCTCAATTCATCAAAAACTCCAGCTCCTCAGATACCATCTGTGGTCGGCTCCCTGCAGGTCTCACAGCTCGTTCTCGGCTGAGCTCTCGTCATTCTAGCGGCTTCTGCGTCCACAGGTTCTCAACTGCCGTTTGATTTCCCAAAACTTGTCTTGAAGTGTTCTCAGAATACTGATCACTTTTTCTTTGAGGCATATGACAAAGTCACAAAGTCTCAGACTAGAAATAATCCAATATGATCATGACATCATGACCAAACAGCCTAGAAGCTTGTTAAAAAAAAAAAAAAAAACAAAACAATTCCCTTAGAATGGAGACTACTTACCAGTAGTAATGTCGGTCCTGTCATTTCATTCATTTCAAATTATTTTGAATTCTTCCTCAAGGGCAATTGGGTTTACTGGTAGTAGGCCATGGGCCATGAATCTGAAGTCTGGACAGCCTTGTGTCTGGAGAGCCATGAAGAGAAAAGGATCAAAGGGGGCAAGTCTCAGAATCAACTTGTGACCTGACAGATTGTTTGACCACATTGCAGAAGTCTGTGTCTCCACAGACTGGAGTTTTTGGTGCTGAATAAGAGCCAATTGCTGAAAAACTGGGGTTTGATGAATAAATTTTAGACTGATTTGTATGTGTATACAATGTGTGATTTTAAAAATAAAGAACAACATCAATAAATACCTTGGCTGGTTGCTTTTTGCCCTAGTCCTCACAAATACTGTTTTGCACCTCACCTTGAAATGTGTTGCACCTCATATAAATGGACTACTGCTGTGTTTATGGAAATTTTCTTTTAATCTTTCTCCCTCTCTCACTCCCCCCCCCACTCTTCCCCTTTCTCTCCTCACCCTGCCTGCTTGCAGAATCATTGAAAATAATAAGACTTGGTATTTGACTTGTTTAGTGTGTTACATAGATGTAAAAGATTGTATAAGCCATAGAGATAACATTGGCAAGACTTTGTACAGATGCAGCCGTTAACACGAACCATTATGTGACTGGTTTGTAAAGATTCACACACAACTTTTTACTATGGCACTTTGTACCTCCAGAATACCATTTTTTGATGTGTGTTTTAAAATTATTTTATCTTCTCATGTTACAAAAGCTGAGCTGTGGGATTTTTTTAAGTTCACTTAATATTAGAATATCTGGATTTTATGTACTTTTTTTGCGTGTATCTCTAAATGGTAACATGTTTGCTTGTCACAACTTTATAAAGTGCAAGGTATCTTGTAGGTGGAATAATTGACGAATGTCATCTTGTGACACGCCCTTAAAGGAACGCTACAGTATATTTTTTAGTGTCTACATGCTGAGCATCCCAACCCAAGCACAGCAATGCTCTTGGGACAGTATTGAGGTGTCAGCATACACAGGCATAACCCCTGTATAGAGTAGTGCCTAACTATTTCAATTATGTAACTAGTTTAAATCCCAATAAAAAGGATTGTTTTTAATGCCTGACTTTTTTCTTCATTAAGAGAAGACAGTTTTGTAGGCGCAACTTTTGTGGATTACTTGCCTTCCTGGGTTTAGATCTGTGAATTTCTTCCCTTTGGTCAGAATGAATTTCTTAACTCTGCCCTGTTGAGTATAATAGCCAGGCTCACTAGACATGCTTTAAGTCCTCATTAGCCAAGTGACTAGTGATTACCACATTTACTATGACAGCTGAAGGCTCTGTCACCATAAAAATGGTTGCTTCTCTGAGTAGTGAGACTTTGAATTGTTGCCTACTTCAGCCTTTTTTCTTTTTTTCCTAGTTTGTTTATTAGTTTTATTATGGAATTATTATTCCTCCCAAGGGAGAATACTCCAGCATATTCTAACTAAGCTACATAAAAATGAGCTTTCACAGTGGCACCTAAGTGGAAATTTGAAAAAATAAAAAACAGATAAAGTGCTTGGTAGTCAGCATATTCCTTGGTTAAAATTTCGCTGGGTGACATTCTATTGGTTTCACCAACATCTTTTTAAAGTGCTAGGATGGCACTACCAGAAACCAAAACATTATGGATCCTGAGCCAGAAGACTACAGAATAAGAGTCTAAAATCTCAAGAAAAAGCTCCTTATTCATTTAGTCTATCAGTGATGAATACTCGGTGAAAACTAAGATCTGGATTCCACTCAATCGAAAAGCAGAGTCCCTTAATCTGAGTACCCAACATGCTCCCTGGTAACTACAATATCAGGTTTGTTGCTTATTGGCTTGACATTTCCCCCAGGTTATACTTGAATCTTGAAATTAAATGTTCTATCACTTCATGATTAATTTTCTACAAGTGGTCCCAAGTTAGGGGCAGAGAAAAGAACAGGATGGCTGATCCTATCTAATGCAGCTCTTAGAGTATGTGATTCATTCAGAAGGATGGAGATAGAGGATCAGGAACTGTCAGGAAGGCACAGGCTGACAGGGATCAGAGAGGCAAGCAGTATTAGAAACCCATTGTTGGTTGGATGGGAAAGAGCATAGGTTTCTGTGAACTTTGAGTAAGGAAAGGATAAAATATATGAATTTTTAAGATCAAATATTTAGTTTCTGAAGGGATCCTTTGAAAAAGAATGGCTGCAGATCATATTTAAGAGGGTATTTTCTTCACTAGTAATGTGACTGAGAGTTCAGCAGTAGGGCCTGCCTAACACAGCAGAGTCCCTGAATCCACCCCCAGCACCTGGGCGAGGGGCTTGCCTTTGTAGATTTCTGTGATGTTCCAAGTGTTGCTCCACTGTTTGCTGTCCTTCAGGATACGCTGCAGCGCCTCTCCACACCTCCACATTTTAAAGCTTTTCTTATATTGGAGCATCCAAGGAATAAGATATTTTGCCACTGTGCCCAGTGAATGTGAACGTTGTATTGGCCTTGATATGTGCTTTCCCAAAATTGACATGTTAATGCATGTCAACTGCTTTGAGCTAGAATACTAGTTTTATTATAGATTGATAGCATGTTCGCATGTTACTCTATTGTCAGCCCTGGTTGTTTGCAGACTTTGCCTTTGTATTATTAGTATACCAATATTCATTTTATCCACCTTACTGCTATATTTTATGAACATATTATTTTGTATTTCTGAGGAACTCAACATAGCTCTAGAACCATGTGCCCCAACTGCCTCCTTTCTTAGAGCTCTAGGTCCTAGACAATGGAGAGAGTGTTATTTTCAATACGAGGTACATTTTCAATACTGATGGCTATAGTCCAACCTGAACACTTTGTTACCACTTACGTCTAAATGGAAATTATGCACGAAGTAGTAGTTCATTTATTTGGAGAGACATTATTCGGGTTAGAATTTCTGCTCTAACTTCTAATTGGTCTTTTTTTCCCTCAATTGTTTCTAGTGCCCAGTGTTGCCCTTACTGATAACATGTTTTAGAACTGATACATTGTCAAGTGTCTGAGGAGTAGAACACGATTTATGTGAAAATTAGTTGGAAATTTTTCTTGAATATTATTTTTCTAAACAGAATTCTGATATTTCACAACGCCCTCCAGCATATTTCTTAGCAAAAAGTACAGGGAAAATTAAGTTTCTTTGAATCTTGTTACTAGTTTGTATTTATAAAGAAAAACTTAATAGAAAATGGAGGAAGGTTGTAGTAGCAACAGTGCCAGAAAATAATTTCACCTGGCTGGAATCAAGGTTTCAGATTTCTAGTACCACCATTCTCTATTTCTAAGTAGCAGATGGGACTGGAAAAGTAGAGGAACCCAAGGCAGGAACCCTGAAGGAAGAAAGGAGCTGTGTTTTGTGCCCATAACAACACACTAAGGAGTGTGTGTTATTTGGTGACTCCGGCTAATATTAAAACCAAGTTGAGTTTGTTACTTTAGACGTGTTGGCCATAGGAGATGAGAAGCTACTAGTCTAATTTTTTTGTTGTTTATTAAAATAGGTAGGCCTAGCTGAATTGCACAATCGCTTTTCAAGATTTTCACACTCAACACAGTTTAATAGCTTCTGTTTTACTTTGCATCCATCCTTCCTTACTAAGACATTCTTCTAAGACATCCTTACTAAGGCATCCTTTTAAGACACATACGTGTGTTGAAATTGATTTAAATGATCATAATGACTTGACAGCCCAGTGAGAAAGCCAAGGCTACAGGCACTCTGAGCTGCCTAGGGGAGGCCTGTGGAGATCCCTTCATCTCAGACTCTCCACCTAAGGCAAGGCATTACCTCAGGGTTGCACGGTGCCTGGCGTCTCTGCCCTAACTGTCTCCCTTGCTGTATGTATCACAGTCAGCCCTGGGTCCTGGCGCACGCCCACGAGGCTGAAGCTGGCTCTGCGCACTTCACAGTCCGGGCGGCCGGCTGGCAGGGAGGATGCGGGCAGGCGGGGCGGCCAGGGTTGGAGGGAGGGGCCGCGCCCCATGTTCGGCTGGTGACTGCGCCTTCCGCCCCGGCTCGCCTAGGCTCCCGGGATGCGCGGAGGTGGAGGCGGCGATGGCGACGATTCCTCTAGCCGGGCAGCATTCAGGCCGCCGGGCGCAGCTGGGGTCGCGGCTGCAACGTGGAGGAGGAAGGGCTGCGCTGCGGCCATCGAGCAGGTGAGAGGCCGCGGGGCCCAGACCAGAGGGACTCTGAGGCAGGAGGGAGCGGGGCGCAAGCTGAGCTTGGCCTGACAGGATGCGCACCTGTGTTAGCGTGCAGCCTGCAGGAAGCTCCTAGGCTCTAAATGGATGAACGACAACCCACCACCACAAGCCTGAGTCCAAGCATCCCTGGAGAGGCCTAGGCCCGTCTTTCCTTCAATTCTAGAGAGCCCACACCCATTGCCAATCACTGGCGGATGTAAATCTGCAATCTACCAGTCTATTGTGCTCCTCAAACCACCTCATCAATCAATCAGAGACTCAGGTCTTCCCACCCCATCAGCTATTGGAAATCTCAAGGGGTAGTTTAGCTGGCTAGAAAGAATGGGAGATTTGGAATATCTTACTGACCTTGGGCAAGTTATCTAGCCACTCTGAGGTTTCCCAGATCCTTTCAAATAAGTGGGAACGGGACAGAACTTCGTTCTGTGTGATGGTGAGGCTCAAAAAATGCCTGCCATGAAGAAATGACACTGAGGGTGGGATAAATTAGAATAATCCAAGTCATGTGTTAGCTTGTGAGGCTTATAAATGTCCTAACGTTTGCTTCAAAAAATAAAAGCAGCGCAGTATTAGGAGCACATCACGCGGGGATCTTGATATGTAGCCCAGGGTGGTCTTGCCTCAGCCTCAGAAGTGCTTGGGATTACAGCCTGTGTCACTGTATCCAGCTTTTCACACATCTTGTTCTGTTGGTTTTGCAACAGAATCTCATATGTAACCGTGGCTGGCCTGGAGCCTGGACCAGCGTGGTCTCCATATCACAGAGAACTGCCTGCTTCTGCCTCCTGAGCACTGGAATTCAAATCCTGTGCCACACCCAAATTTTACCAAGAGTTGACACTATGCAATGTTTGGAGTTCCTGGTCCTTCTAGTTACTTCAGCATCACTCCTCAACTGTAATCAGATGCATGTGAATTCATTTTGTGATAAAGTCTCACCATATGTATATAATCTAGACTAGAAATTTGCTGTATAATCCTGGCTGACTTTGAATTCATGAGTCTCTTGGCTCAACCTCCCCAGATGTGTGCCACTACACTCTGCTTATTCTGTCTTACTGTTGTTAATATATATGCTTAAGACTGGTGTTCTGGGCTGGTGAGATGGCTCAGCAGCAAAGGCCCTTACCACTAATCCTGAAGACTCACATGATGGAAGCAGAAACACAACCTCCACAAATTATCCTCAGAACTCTCCATGCCTGCCTGTCTTAGACTTTCTCTGCTGTGATAAAGCACTGACCGAAGTCGCTTGGGGAGAAAAAGGATTATCCTATCTTAGAGCTTGTAGTGCATCACACAAAGCCAGGGCAGGAATCTGAGGCAGGAACTGATGCAGATGCTTTGGAGGATTGCTGTTTATTGTTTGTTTGTTTTTTTTTTTCATGTCTTGTTCAGCCTGTTATGGTACCTAGAACCACCCACAGTGAGCCCACATCATTCATCAATTGAGAAAATCACCACAGCCAGGCAGAGGTGGTGCTCACTTTTAATCTCAATACTTGGGAGGCAGAGACAAGCAGATCTCCAAAGTTACAGAAAAACCCAGTCTTGACAAACCAAACCAAGAAAGAAAGAAGGAAGAAAGGAAAGGAAAGGAAAGAAAATGTACCATAAGCTTGCCCACAGTTGAGGTTCCTTCTTTCAAAATGACCCTAGATGTGTTGACTTGACATAGGACTGAGTAAGCACAGTGCAACAGTAAATACACATGCTAAATAGATAAACACAGTAAAAATATAATTAAAGCTGGTTTTATAACTTAAAATCATTCTGATACAGCTTATTGGAAATAATAGTTAATGTTTAGGCATAGTTAACCACTATTGACTTTGTCCCAAAGCATTGAACACACACACACACATACACACACACAAGATTATATATATAATGTTTTGTCATTTGTTTTTTGAGACAGGGTTTTCTCTGTGTCAGAATTCTAACTTTCCTGGGACTCGCTCTGTAGACCAGAACTCACAGAGATCCACCTGTCTCTGTCTCCCAAGTGCTGGGATTAAAGGCGTGCACCACCACCACCATCTGGCTTATATTTTTGCTTTTGTTCTTAATTTCCTCTTAAAGTCCCAAGAGTTAGTACTCTGTTCTGGTTTGACTTTCTCTCCTGTTCCTTTCTTGGTTTTGAAGTTTTGTGTTCCAGGAACTTTTACTTGGGAACAGAATTTTAATACTTAATAGTATTGTTTTGAGATTTAAGTAAAGTTTGATATCTTATATAAAGCTTCAAGTATGAGAGCATAGGATGTAATAGCAACTCAATAAATGACAGCTGTTGTAATTTAGCTTTGAGCTACAGATCTCTCTCGAGTGTGAGTGTGTATGTGTGTGTGTGTGTGTGTGTGTGTGTGTGCAATGGAGTTAAAGAGTGTGGGCTTTGAGAAGCAATTGCTTAATTCATATGGAAGTTCTGCTGCCTTGCTGAGGATCTCTCCAACTGGGTTTCCTCATCTTCAAAATGGAGCTAGAAATAATATTATGGAGTTTTGGGGAAAGTCAGTAGTGTAAACCCTAAGAATAGTGTCTAGCATGTCATAAACACTTTCTAAACAGATACTGACAGTTGTGATTATATTGCTGTTATTTCCTAACATGGAGTTGTATATATATTTAATTGATTGTGCAACATTGCCCTCATAATAATTCCAAATCATCTTCCAACCCCTAAGACCTCATGCATTATCACTAAGCTATAACACCCAGCCTCTCTTACTCCAGATTCAGTGCCCCCCCCCCCGGCTCCTTCCCTCTCTCACTACTGTTCTTTCTTTCCCCTGATTACTGTTGGTGCCTTAGCATCTCATCCTCCACATCTACAGTTGGGGTCTTGTAACTTCCACCATTCCACTTCATTATCACCTTATTTCTCTAAGCGCCGTGATTCCACATTCACAAAATTTATACTTTCTTTGGCCTAGATTCTTGCTACTCTAGTATCTCCGCTCTCCTAACTTTCCAGATGGATTTTTCTTCTTTTTCCCTTTTCATAAATTAACTCCAAGGTACATTTTTTTTAAACCACCAGCAAGACACTGTTGTTGTTCATGGTAACAATATCCAAAGAGTTTACAGGCATGCAGTCTTAAACTAAAAGCAATAAGAGCTGTCTATTATTAACTGATAAGAATATTTTTTCTAGACTTATACTTTTATCTCCCATAGAACTTAGTTTAAAGAAAGCTTACTTTGCAGAACAGTTGGTGTCACAGGACAGTGAAGTAATTTACCGTAGTGTGGGTTCTGCAGTCCATGGTCACTGCAGCGGCAGAGGCTGCTTCTGTCTTAGTGAGGGGCACAAAGGTTGATCACACGGCTCTCCCCAAACTGATCTACCTGATTCTCACTGCCAAGGCTGTCCTTGTTGTGGTTAAATGCTGAAAGACTACTGTTGTAGGCAGTCCATAGCTGTTGCTTGGAGCCCCAGTAATCCCTCATTAACTGGACTCAATCTGCACCCCCTGATCCAGCAGCTGAAGGGTTGGCACGTGGAGACCTCTGGGTTCCAGCTCAAGCTGGTGGTAAAATATTCTGAGGATGGGCTCTGGACCACCTTAGTGCCATGACCTGTTCATGCAGTGTTAAATTAGAGCAAATGTTTTCAGTTGTCAAGTGTAGAGCACTAAATGCTGTCTGTCTTGCTGGAGTCTTGTTTGGGAGAGGATGGACAGCAGACCACACACATCTTTAGGGTTGGGAACAGTGAAGATTGGTGTGGGTATATATTACACTTCCTTGCATAAGAGAGAAAAATGGCCAGCCTGAGTGAGTTTCTTCTTTTTTCCGTCTCTCCCCCAAAGAGGCAGCTTCTGCCTCGCTCCATTCTCCCCACTTCTCCCCTTCCCCTTCTCTCTCTGTCTCTCGCGTTTCTGTCTCTCTCTCTTTTTCTCTCAGTTCTTCCCCCTTCTCCCCTCACCCCCTCTCCCTTTCCCTTCCATAACCCACTAAATAAATATCCAACAGAGAAAGAGAGAGAGAGAGAGAGAGAGAGAGAGAGAGAGAGTCATGGAAAGAAATAAGGAGCAAGAAGGTTATTCTTTCAATGGACCAAGGGCTTCTTCATCATCTATGTGTATTTAGCAACTCACACAATACTGGCCCAAGACACACATGTGGTTAATATAGTTAAGTTAATGAATACAGAATTCATGCCTCCTATTTGATGATGAGGATATTCCTGTTGTAATAATAACTAGCACTTAGAGTTTATATAGTGCTTCTTAAAAGCTTTACTTTATTTTTAAAGTATGTGTAGATGTGTGTGTCTGGGGGGTGCAAGTGTCCTGGACTTCATAAAGTCCAGGAAAAGGCATCTGATTCTTTGGAGTTGGACCACCCAGCCTGGATCTTAGAACTGGAACCTGGGTTCTCTGTAAGAGCAATACATACTTTTAACCACTAAGCCATCTCTAGCCCTCGTAGTGGTATGATGTGTGTTTGTGTGTGTGCACATGTGTGCACATGGGCATGTTTGCTGATGATCAAACACCCAAGGACTACATCTTCAGACTCCAAAGCGTTGCTTTGCACCTTGGAAATTACAAACATAATCTCAGACACCTTTTGTTACTTTAATTTTTTTCTTCTTCTCTCAAATGTAGTCAGGACTTTTCTTTTTCAAAGGAGCGTTTTCAATTGATTAAGAACTTAACTCTCAAACTAGGGAAAAAATGCTGAGAAACAGAGATTTCTCCTTAGAGAAAATAATGGGATTTATTATTGATTTATAAGCGTTTATTGAAGGGTCACATCGTGTGTGGACAATACCCTCCTGCTTGGATTCCAAGCACAGCCTGCTGCTTGCTCCGTCCCGCTGCTGCAGAGACCGACTCTCTGCTTCCCAAGCTGTGCATTCTCCCTGCCCATCACCTTTCACCCAGCTGGCTTCTCCTCACCAAAGCTCCTTTCATCCTTTCTCAGCCCCTCCCCGAGAGATGCATTCAGTACCCTTTGTCCCTGGCTGTGGTCCCTGCTACCATGCTGACGTAACTCCTCCAAGGAAGAGATCATGGACTTCCGACGGAGAAGTCGTGTTCCTGTGTGTCTCCAGTGCCTGGTTTGGGATGTCTTTTCTCTGTGGTAGAATTTGTGACATGCTTTTCAAAGTAATAGAGATGACAATTGTGAAAGCTTTTGTGAAATGGAATGCAGTTGCCGCGCTCACTAATCCCTTTCTGTCTCTGGCTGTGCTTTCTTGTGCAGGCTTCTCTTCCTTGGCCCTCTTTTGGCACATGCCCCTCGTCTGTGAGTTGAGGTCCTGACTTTCTTCCTGTTGATTTTTTTTTTTTTTTGAGAGCACAAGAGACACCTTTCTCTGAAGATGAACTCGAGTGTCCCTCTTCAGAACACTGCCAATGCTACCTTGCTGTACATGCCTCCCTCGCAGGGAGGCAACGGCACGTCTCTTCGGGAGGATCTTCGAGACTTTATCCACACAGCCACCTTGGTGACTTGTACTTTCCTGCTTGCTGTCATCTTCTGTCTAGGCTCCTATGGCAATTTTATTGTCTTCTTGTCTTTCTTTGACCCAGCCTTCAGGAAGTTCAGAACCAACTTTGATTTCATGATCTTAAACCTGTCTTTCTGTGATCTCTTCATCTGTGGGATTACGGCTCCCATGTTCACCTTCGTGCTCTTCTTCAGCTCAGCCAGGAGCATCCCAGAAACATTCTGCTTCACCTTCCACCTCACCAGTTCAGGCTTCATCATCATGTCCCTCAAGATGGTGGCTGTGATTGCCCTGCACCGGCTCCGAATGGTGCTAGGGAAACAACCTAATTGCACGGCCTCCTTTTCCTGCATCTTGCTCCTCACCCTGCTTCTCTGGGCCACCAGTTTTACCCTTGCCACCTTGGCTACGTTGAGAACCAGTAAGTCTCACCTTTGTCTCCCCATGTCCAGTCTGATGGCTGGGGAAGGGAAAGCCATTCTGTCTCTGTATGTTGTTGACTTTACCTTCTGTATTGCTGTGGTGTCTGTCTCTTACATCATGATTGCCCAGACACTCCGGAAGAATGCTCAAGTCAAAAAGTGCCCCCCTGTGATCACAGTCGATGCTTCTAAACCGCAGCCATTCATGGGGGCCTCTGTGAAGGGCGGTGGAGATCCTGTGCAGTGCACTGTGCCGGCTCTGTACCGGAACCAGAATTACAACAAACTGCAGCACTCTCAGACTCATGGGTACAGTAAGAACCCCAGCCAGATGCAGATCCCTTCAACCAACCGACTCCAGCTAGTATCAGCCATCAACCTTTCTACTGCCAAAGACTCCAAAGCCGTGGTCACCTGTGTGATCATAGTGTTGTCCGTCCTGGTGTGCTGCCTTCCTCTGGGGATTTCCCTGCTGCAGGTGGTTCTGTCTGACAACGGGAGCTTCATCCTGTACCAGTTTGAACTGTTTGGATTTACTCTGATATTTTTCAAGTCAGGATTAAATCCCTTTATATATTCTCGGAACAGTGCGGGGCTGAGGAGAAAAGTGCTCTGGTGTCTCCAGAACATCGGCCTGGGCTTACTCTGCTGCAAGCAGAAGACTCGACTTCGAGCCATGGGCAAAGGGAACCTTGAAATCAACAGAAACAAATCTTCCCACCACGAGACAAACTCTGCCTACATGCTGTCTCCAAAGCCACAGAAGAAATTTGTGGACCAGGCCTGCGGCCCAAGTCACTCAAAGGAAAGCGTGGTAAGTCCCAAAGTGTCTGCTGGACACCAGCACTGTGGTCAGAGCAGCTCGACACCCATCAACACTCGGATTGAACCTTACTACAGCATCTACAACAGCAGCCCTTCACAGGAGGAGAGCAGTCTGGGAAGGTTACAGACGGTAAACTCTTTCGGGTTTGCCAGTTCGTACATTGCCATGCACTATTACACCACGAACGACTTGCTGCAGGAGTACGACAGCACATCGGCCAAGCAGATCCCCGTCCCCTCTGTCTAAACCCCACGGCCAGGGAAGGGGGGGGGGGCTTTTCCCAGACTGAACAAGCCTTGGAAAGATGCTGAGGTCGGTGGCAAAGCAAAACTTGAAGAGTCGGCTGAAGAGTTGACCATTAGATTTTCTTTTGTCTGAGATATTAGTATCTGGATTTGCTTCGTGGTTTATTGACATTTTGCGACTTGATGTGAAAGCTTATTTCCATTTTTACCCCGATGTGTGTCCCAGTCTTTTGTACTGAACGACTAAGACGACGCCGGGAACAACCCTACGATGACCGCCTTTCAGTCAGTGTTGTGGGTCTTTAAATACGCATGGCCACATTTTTAAAGGTGTCTGAAAAATGGTCTTTCTGAAGTGTCATTTTTATAAGCATATGAAATTTGACTCTTTGAAGTACTGAAGCAGAAAACAGTATGCTTTTTTTTTGGTGGCAAGTTGATTTAAATAAAAAACTTATTGTTAAAGCAGAGAATAGAAATGTGTTACCTGTACCGCTGTCCTTATCAGAAGTTCTCAGCCAGTGTGAGGCCCTCCCCCTATAAGACAGTTACCTAACAACACAGAGTTGGGATTCTTGTCACTTCTAACTGTACACATTGTTGTTTTGTGTCAACTGAGTAACTAGCTTTACAAGTTACCAGTTAATTGCTGTTACAGAAGGATCTTAACCCGGAATCCAGTGTGGGGCACTGTTCTGAGAGAGCAGACGCGGTATGTCTCAGCAGTTTGTCTGGGGAAGGCAATGGACCCATTCATCATACATTTAACACTAACTACCCTTATTTAACAAGATGTAGAGATGCACTTGCGGGGGGTGACGTAGGCTTTCCTTCTGTATGAGGAGAATTTAGTAGAGAGCCACCTGACAGTGTTCACATAGATATTCAAAAATAACCTTTTGAATTTAAATATTGCTATAGAAAAATTTCAAGGTCATCTATTAATATTTTCATATGGAGGTTTTCGAGTTTCTATTCTATTTGTATGGGGCTGGAGATCGAGCCTAGGCCCTTGTGCATGTTAGGCAGCCAGTCTATCACTGCAGTACACCCTAACCCCAAACTAATTGTTTTATAGTCTCCCATTAACCTTAAACTGGAAATGAGCAACTATGTTATTCCTACACCTCAGACTAGTTTTCTTAGGTCCACTGAGGCCTAGGAGGACAATTGTGAAATCACATTTTTAATGTAAAAACATTTTAGTCCTGCAGTTAGGATTTGAACTCACTAGAATTTTGGAATGCTAACTGTTAGGCCCAAAGTAGAGTATCTTTACAAACTGTTATATTCAACTAGAAGTCTCAAAGCTCAGAAGCGCAAGGAACAGAAAACACTCAGATCAGAACACTCTCTCCCAGGCTCCGCCCAAACTCCAAGATGTCAGGAGGTGCTGAGAGGTGGAGTAGCTCCTGAGTCAGAACAAGCCTCTAGCTAGAGCTAGCAGCTCCAGCCACAGTCACTTCAGGGTTCGCCTAGAGCTCGCCTGCCTAGCTTTCCTCTTCTTTTCCCCCCTTTCTCTATTTTTCTACCAAGGTTTATAGCATATCCACTCTCCTTTATCTTGGTAGCTGGGTTCTCTTTGGAAATCACTCTTCCCTGTGGCAACTGTGTTTTATAGATTCAGCACAACATGGTTCCCACTAATATTTCCCCTGAGACAGAGTCAGCAAAGAATTAAAATATCTAAGACATCTAATATCTTCTCCCAAAATCATTTGGAGAATTTTGGCAAATTACCAATTAGACTTTTTCTTTTTCTTTTCTTTTCTTCTTTTTAGGACAGGGTTTGAAAGGCTGTCCTTGGAATTAGCTCTTTAGACCAGGCTGGCCTGAACTTGGAGATCCTCTTGTCTCTGCCTCCTGAATGCTGAGATTAAAGGCTTGTTTCACTACCACCCAGCACCAATTAGACTTTTGTCTTAATTAAAAACTTAGCATTAAGTCCAATAAAGGAGGCAAACGTGTAATCAATAACAGTGCACACGTTTAAAGGTGTATATCTCTGGGGCTTGGGAGATGGCTCAGAGGTTAAGACTACTTGTTCTTCCAGGGGACCCAGGTTCATTTCTCAGCACCCACGCAGTGGCATAGCCATCAGTAATCCCAGTTCACTGGGGCCCTGCACCCTCTCCTGACCGCCATGGCACCACATATATGACGCATAGGCATAAATGCAGGCAAAACACTCAAACACATTAAAATAAAATTAATTACATTCATAAAAAAGGTATCATCTCTTTTGAGGGAGCAGGCATTTAAAATGTGACTTAACAAAAGGTCATAAAAATTACTACTTGTAAATTTTTAAATGCTAGGTTTCCTTGTGTGACCTTTATGTTTGAAATTATTTGACAAGCATGGGGCCCATTTTTAAGAAGTACAATTTATACAACAAAGAAGACAAAGCATGTACATAGAGAGTGTTCAGTTTCTTTATGTTCATCAAGAAATTATTCAATTTGCATGAAATATATAGTGGGCTAGATCCCTGGCTCCCCTCCTATCTTTAGAGAGGTAAAATGTGTTTCTTCATAAGCTACATATGTCTGTCTGTACCAGTATAATGGTCATATTGGCATAGGCAGATATATATATAACTTGTCACCTCATAAGGGCTAAAAAATTATAAATCAAAGTAATGAAAATTCAGTTGAATATGATTAATTTGCAGGATACATTAATTTTTCTCTTGATGCTTACTGTGTGCAAATTATATATCTCTAAAAGTTTTATAGTAAGTGTTCTCATGTTAACCATTAGGCCAGATTTCTATTTCTGATGTTTTAATGTGCTTTTAAAATAAGTTTGGAAAATAAAAGTACTGCAAATCCTAACTTTCGGGTCTTTTTTGTTTGTTTGTTCTGTTTTATTTATTTACTTTTTGAGACAGGATCTTACTATATAGTATAGGCTAGCCTCAAACTCCTTCTGCTCCTATTTCCTCATCATTGAACTAGTTGTGTATGCTAGCACACGCTGCTGAAAAATCAAGTTGCAATATGGTGTCCTGTGCAGTCTTTCACTATGCAGATAGGCTGGTCTCAAGCGTGTCGATCCCATCTCAACTCCCAAGTGCTGGGACTGCAGGAATGTGTGTGATGGTTTGAATGAAAATGGCCCCTAGGGGCTCGTAGGGAACGGCACTACTGGTAGGTGTGGCCTTGTTGGAGTGGGCGTAGCCTTGCTAGAAGGAGTGTGTCACTAGGGGTGGGCTTTTCAGTTTCAAGCCAGTCCTAGTGGGCACACTGTCTCTTCCTGCTGCCTGCCGACCTGAAGGTAAAACTCTCAACTACCTCTCCATAATCATCATAATCATGTCTGCCTATGTGCCACCATGCTTCCCACTATGATAGCAATGAACTCAGCCTCTGAACCTGTCAGCAAGCCCCAATTAAATGTTTTCCTTTATAAGAGTTGCCATGGTCATGGCGTCTCTGTTCTCTTTCTCTCCTTCTCTGCTCCCACCCAGGTGTGTGTTTGTTAAGCACTGGGGATCGATTCCAGGACCTTGTACATGCTAGACAATGCTCTGCCTCTTAGATTACTTATATTTCTGCCCTGTTCCTTGAAAACCATTAGAGTGTGACAGTGGTCACTTTTGCACAATGACTATGTTCAGCCTTAGATAAAAAAGTTATCTTTGAGAAATAAAATAACTAGTTTGCCCATAGTTTGAAGCATCTGTGGTCATACTAAGAATAATTAACCCCAGAATCTTATTTACTAGACTGTTTCCCAGCAGGGCTGGGGATGCTTAAACCTAGCTCTTCATACATACTGGACAAGTGCTACCACTGACCTACATCCTCAGCCATGGTTTATTACATTTACGTGTGTGTGAGTGTGTGTGTGTGTGCGTGTGTGTATGCCACAAAGTATGTGTAGAGGTCTGAGGAGGACAACCTCAAAAGTTGTCTCTACTCCTACCATGTGGGTCTCGGGGATCAAACTCAGCAAGTGACTTTACCCTCTGACCCCTTTTATAATCCCAGTCCCCGTTTTTATTTTCTGAGATGGTCTCACAAGGTTTCCCAAGCTGGCCTTGAACTTACTTTGTACCCTGGGAATACCTTGAACGAATCCCCCTACCTTGCTCTCCTGATGTATCTGTGACATAGAACCTCACTACTAAGCTTGGCTTAACAACCTCTTTAAAATGAGATTAACCTGGAACAAATAAAGTGTTTGTTTCTTTTTCTGAGAACTTTTAGTTTCTCAACCAAGGTTTTCTCTAATGGAAATTTAAACTGAGGAACTGTAGTAAGAAAAGGTCAGGCATCTACAAAGTCGTCTATCGTCAGGGCTGTATGACAAGGGCACAAGAATGATTCCGCAGCAAGAATGTCATGACTTTCCTCTTTGTGCAGTCCAGGACTCAGCTGATAGAATTGTGCTGTCCACATTAGGGTGGGTCTTCCCACCTCAGTCCAGTAGACCTTCCCAGAGCTTTGTCTTTTCCGTCATTTTAGTTCCAGTCAAGTTAACAACCAATTTTCACCTGGGTCACCAAGCTACTGTTCCTGTTAACTCCACAACAAGCCCTCTCGGCACCTGTGCAGCAAGTGACTGTCCATAGAAATACCACCCTCTTGGTTGTCCATAGTTCACACACACATCAAATACCCAGGAAGTGGCATTTCTGTGCACAGAGAGGATTAGAAGTTGTAGTCCGTTCTGAAACTCCTTGCAGCATATTTTTCTGGCGCTATCACCTTCCATACCTTCCCCCGAAGTCAGGACCAGGAGACTCAGTCTGTGGTCCGGAGAGAAGGTTCAGTCATTAAAGCCTAGGCTCACCATCTAAATGTCAAGAAGATGCAATTTGGGTTCTGCTAATGAAATACAGACCCAGATTTCTCTGCAGCAGCATCTTTGGGACCAGTCACTTGCTGTTTAGGTGTCAAGAGGGCTTGTTGCCAGATAACAGCAATACTAGCATCATCCTCCCTCTCCGTTAAAGACATTTCCTGGGGCTGGGGATATAGCTCAGTGGTCCAGCCCCTGACTGTCATGTGCAGGGTCCTGGACTTGATGCCTACACACACACACACACACACACACACACACACACACACACACACACACCATGAGGGAGAGATGATGCAGAGTCAAGATGTCAAGCAGTATTCTCAGTGATATTCATTACTCTTCTAATTCAATTCCTACTGTGATATAAGAGTTAAAGTATAACTTAACTTTATAAGTTATAAAGTTAACTTACAACAAACATTTTTATAAAAATAGCAAGGGAAAGAGAGAGGGCAAACACATCTTCATTAAGAAGATAAAGAAAAAAACATGGGTGCTATAAAAGAGATTGCTTGCTTATATACTTTGTCAAGAAGCTGTGGTTGGTATTTCCCAACTTCTCATTTCTATCCCTGATAGCCTAGCTAGTACAATGTACATAGTCTGAAAGGTTAGGTTTTTTTCCCAATCCAACATATCAATTAAAGAGGCAGAAAAGATAAAAAACAAAAACAAAAACAAAACAGAAAAGGGAGATTTCGTTAATGTACGCACTGGGAAGAGGAACAGATTTTGGGTCCTATGAGCCTAAAGTAGATCTTAGAGTAGATTTGAAACTTAAAAATTGGAGATGGAGAGAAGACTGCTGAAGGATGGGTCTCGGTTTCTCCTCATGCCGATCTGGAACTTACTCTATAAGGCAGGACGAGCTTGAATATACAGCATCCTCCTGAATCCCAGGTTTACAGGACTGTGTCACCAGCTTGAGGTTTGAATAGAGAATGAACTGAGGCCGTGGGGAAAGAAGTCTGAATAAGTTAAGCAGTCCTTGTCAAGGTGGCACTGGGTTAGGTACTATGTCACTGTTTCTGCAAGGTGGCTGGAGATCAGTCTCATGGTTGAGGAGGTTCCTGTGAGGAACCTCATTTCTGCTTCGAAGTGTAGTCTTGACTTTTTTGATAATTCTCCACCCCTCAGTCCCCTTTCTCTGAGGCTTTTATCTTCCTGGAATACAGGTGACTGCAATCTTTGGACAGTGGCTTATCCTCGTGACTTCCATCCTAAAGGGGATCAGGTAAGTTGGGCATGCATTGCTTTACTTGCTTCTCTTCCCGGCATGTGCGCTGTCTTCCTCTGCTGTTCACTATCATTCACTGTGAACGGCTCATAAAAGAATTCATCATACAATAGTGGGTGATGGCCCGGCGGTGGTGGCGCACACCTTTAATCTCAGCACTCGGGAGGCAGAGGCAGGAGGATCTCTGTGAGTTCGAGGCCAGCCTGGTCTACAAGAGCTAGCTCCAAGCCAGGCTCCAAAGCCACAAGAGAAACCTTGTCTCGAAAAACAAAACAAAGCAAAAAAAAGTGGGTGACTAAATCTTTGATTAGTTTATTTATTAGTTATTGGTTAGGTGGGTAGAGAGAGGGAGGAGAGATTTGAGAATGAGGCGACGAGTTGAATTGTCCCTCAGGCAAGAGGTTTATTAATGAGCCATCCAGATGGCTCAGCAGGTAACATACTTGCTGCCAAGCCTGATGACCTAAATTCAACACTCTGGACCCACGCTGGAAGAAAAGTCACTCCTGCAGGTGGTCTTCTGAACACCACACCCGCGTTGTCCTCTGCACACACACCTGAGTGTGCACACACAGAAACACAGACAAAGCCAGGCGTTTTTTCAAGTTTATTAATACTGTTGGCGGCAGGAGTACAGCAGTGAGAGGATTCGGAAATACAACTTCAGCCTCCCAAGACAAAGGAGCTGTTATCTTTGACGGCCTTCAGGGGCTGAGAAGAGACAAGACTAACTAGACTTAGTGTGTGTGGACTGGGGCACATGTGACGTGCTTGATGATAAGGATCGTTCTCTCTCTGGATTGGGAAGTAGGTGTAACCCGTGAAATGTGACAGCAGTCAAGCTGCCTTCACCCCTGGGTGGCACCAGAGGACGAGATATGCTCTTTATCAGCTCTTCCTGCATTGGGCCTCGTTACCTGGAGGCCAGTGTCTCTGTCTGTACGCTATGGCATTTTGCTTATGTATATAAAAAGATAAAGAATCAGAAATGGCATCATGGAAAGAAGGATGCAGGGGTGCCAAGGGACTGGTAAATGTCAAAGCCATTCTGGATTGGTTTTGCTGAATCAGGACATTGCTCGATAGGAAGCCCCTAGTATGGTGGTGGGTAGTTAGGAGGTGCTCTTTGGTTCCAAGGCTGGTTATCTAAATCACACATTTCGATGTTTGCCTTTCTGGTATGACTTCACATGGTAGAGAGAGAGAAAGCTAGCTCTCTAATAAATCTTCTTATCAGGGCCCTAATACCATAATGAAGGCCCCACCTTATGACCCAGTTTGACCTAACTGCATCCTTTGAAATTTTATCTCCTAATATAGACACACAATGCACAAGGGTTAACAATGTATTTGTGAGAACATAGTTCAGGCCACGTAGTTATCTGTAATGACTATTTATTATATTACTAATTAATATACCTGTCTTCCCACAGGAATAAAGCTCCATTAGGAACATCCCTCATACCTGTGAGTTCTTGGCTCTAGTGGGTCTGTGTTTGTTTTAAGATATAATCTCATATTTGAGTTCAGACTAACCTTGAACTTACTGGGTAGGCCAGGGTGGCCTCAAACTCTTGCAGTCTGCCTGCCTTGGCATTCTCAGTGCTGGGATTATAGGTATGCGCCATTATGCTTGGCGAGAAACATCTTTTGAATAAATTAGTCAACTAATCAATAACTGAATGGAAGGATGCATGGTGGTCTATGTAGTTACTGGATCTTGCTTTTTGCTTCCCACTTGTTTTGATTTCAGCCAACAAGGACTATGTAGTATGAGGGCCAGCTCGT